TCTCTCTAAGCACCCTCTCTCTCTCTATTCACCCTCTCTCCTTTGGATCTCTCTCTCCACATGCCATCTCTCTTTAAGAATAGCGATTGGGAGAGAGAGCAAAAAAAATAGACTGAGAGATTGGAAGAGGGAAAAATGGGCTGAAAGAGATTTCGAGAGAGAGAGTGGAAAAATGGGCTCAGAGGGATTGGAAGAGAGATTTTGGGAGACAGAGAGAAAAAATAAGGCTGAGAGAGATTTCGAGAGAGAGAGAGATAGCAACAGTGAGAGAGGGAGAGATTTTGGGTAAAGAGGAAGATATTTCGAAGAGAGAGAGAGCGAGAGATGGGGTTTTTTTCAGTGAGATTTTGTAGAGTATACTTTTTTTTCAACTGTTATTGCTATCTCCCTCTAACCCGAACTATCTCTCTCCACTCTCTCTCAACCCATTTTTTTCACTCTCTCTATGCCTATATGTCCACTCTCATTATCCCGAAATCTCTCTCTCCTAATCTCTATTCTTAGAGAGAGAGAGGGTGGGTAGAGAGAGAACCAAAGGAAAGCGAGGGCAGACAGACAAAGTGAAAGAGGGCGGGTAGAGAGAGAAAGAGAAAGAGGGCCGATAGAGAGAGAGCAAAGGTAGAGAGTGAGAAATAGAGATGGCGGGTAGAGAATGAGAGAGGAGAAAGGAATTTTAGTTCTAAATATTTTGACTTTTTGAAGGAGTAATAGCAAAAAAAAAACAGTTTTTGGGTTGTGAGTGTGATACTAAAAGCATTGGGAGGAGGATGTCTGCAAAATTCATTTTGACGGTATCTACATTTTTTTTCTAAAATAAATTAAAAAAATAAAAATAAACTAAAGACCTATTTGTTTGTTGGAAGGTAAATGTTCCCCGAAAATTGAAAGTTCTTTTCTAGAAACTGGAATATTACCTTTCTAGAATTGTTAGGTATTGTATTTGATAGCATGTATAGAATGTTAAAGAACTTTTGGGTACTTGTGTTTGATTGATCCTGAAATGTTTGGCAATGTTAAAGAAGTTTTGGGTCCCAATGTTTGATTGACCATGGAACGTTTGGCATCCGGAGAGCTGGGGATATGAGGCCGCTGTGTATTGTATGAATGGGATATTTAATACACTCCTAATCTTTATTAGGTCTAATGAAATGGAAGGTTTAGATCAAAGGCATGAGGAATACCTTATGCTCTCTCTAGCTCTCCCAAATAAGGCATGAGGAATACCTTATGCTCTCTCTAGCTCTCCCAAATAAAAACACCTTTAATAATAAGGTGCGGCTTGTGTAGAGCCTAGGCTCTAAACAATCAAATTAGAGCCTACCTTCAAATAGGGTCAAGAAATGTGGTTTCAATACTGGAAATCTTTGTGATAGCTTTAAAATATATTTTCATCTTTATTTGTAAAGTTTAAAGCTTCAAAAATAGTGTAGATCGATAGATCTACAAAAACTTGAAAATCTTGAAAATTGACGATCCAAAAATACATCTGAAAATACACTATTTCCAAACTTGAAATCTATTTTTTTTTCTCATATTCATGGATATTGATGTCGAGATGATCAATTTGAGGATATTTGGACAATCAAAACAATCTCTTCCAGTGAAAATTTTGAGGTAGGCTACAATTTGATCGTTCAGAGCCTCAGCTCTATATAAACTTTTCCCTTTATTAATATAGATTTTTTTCTAATATCTAATTCAATAGGCAATTAAAAACTCATTGAGAAGAGTCCACATATTCCTTTTAAGAAAAAAAGGTAGGTGACTATGGATGAAAGCCAATCTTGGCTTCTACAAAATGCAATAAAATGCATATGTTCTAAATTATTGTTATGCAATTTTTGTGGTCATTACTCCCTATCTTCTTTAAAGTATATAATTGATCTCTATCTTTCTTTATTGTAACTTGTAATTTTTCCAAGTAAACTCTACTTGTAGTATCAACAATTCTCCATGCCTCACAAAAATTACAAAATTTGAAAGTGAAAAATCTCTTATGGATATTTTATGGTCAATGTAACGGCCACGTTTGCTATTAAGAGAGATTTATATATGTATCATATGTGGATATATGGAAAGTGAACCTAACACCCTTCGAAAGAGTAACCATTAATGATAATGGTTCATAATTTAAGATGAGGAAATATGAATCATACTGAACATTGCATCATGATTCAAAACACAAACATTCCACCAAAAACGGTCTCCTTCAATTGAATTCATGACATTCCACCTAAAACGGTCTCCTTCAATTGAAACCATCAAATTAAAATGTAACGCTCTCTCCCCCCACTCCCAAACAAACCCACATAAAAGCAATCTTCAAGGGCAAAAAACTAACTCTTGGACCGAGTGAAGCATCAAAGCAAGACATAACTACATCTCAGATAATATATTGCTTTAAGATTACCAATTACTCAACTTAATTAAGCATGTGGGATGATTTCTCATATACTCTTTGTGTCCACAAGTTGGGTCATATCAATGACTGCTTCCGATGGTGGGCGTAGGAAGTTCATTTGTAAGCCATTACAATGCTACATATGCTTGGGCAAGTTCTGGCCATGAGCACTTCAAATGTCTAGACCCTCATCCAATATGTGTGCAAATAGAATCACCAAAAATCCAACCTATTCAGGGATCCCTGATCTTCGCAATTAACAACAAATGTCCATTTTATTAATTTTACGAGAATCCAATCACTAGAAACACCAGCCAAGAAATCCTTCCCAAATACACATCTCCTTGCTGAAGGTCATAAAGTTGTGTGCTTCTTGAATTAGGCCATGGGAATCAAGGTTTGAGCCCCTGTTAGCAGAACCAGATGGTATCAGAGGGTGTTCCTGCATTGTTATGGCAGATAAAGAGTGCCACGGCCTCGTCAAGGAAACCTAGATATGAGACATATGCAAGTAGCTTCATCAGGCTTAAGTCCCTTTAACATTTCATCATGCATATTTCGGCCTACCTAAACTATGGCCATCCCCTACAACATGAGCCATGAGCCCTGCGAGTGGCTTTGATTCCACCATGTCATGCAACTCATCATAACCCCAAATCAACAATTTGAAAAAATTGGTGAATCAATTTGTCAAATTTTAAAAAAAATTGCGTTATTATTGACTGAAGAAGTGAAGAAAATGCGGGGTTTCAGGCAAAAGGCAGATTCTAAAGCATCGTAGAAAACCCAAATTCACAAAAGGAGGGACTAGAACCCCCTTTGATTTGCTTTGATACAAAACAGTTCAAAACACCTCAAATAGGAGAAAAAACCCAATAAATTGAGGTGATAAACCCCCTATAAAGCAGAATTCTCTCTATGCAATTCATTTTCTTTGTAGAACCATAGATTTTGCAAAGCCCAAAATAGATATATATATATATATATATATATATATATATATATATATATAGAGAGAGAGAGAGAGAGAGAGAGAGAGGAGAGAGAGAGAGAGAGA